TCCCAGATCATCTTCGGTCAGATCTTCACCGTACGGCAAATCCTCCAGAAATGCCGTGAATACCAAGTCCCAATGCATTATTTGTTCATCAACTTTAAGGCGGCATACGACAGTATCGACCGCACAGAGCTATGGAAAATCATGGACGAGAACGGCGTTCCTGGGAAGCTGATCAGACTGATCAAAGCAACGATGAACGGTCTGCAAAACTGCGCAAGGGTTTCGGGTGAACTATCCAGTTCATTCGAATCTCGCCGGGTACTGCGACAATGTGAGGGACTCTCATGCCTACTCTTCAACATCGCCCTAGAAGGTGTAATGCGACGAGCCGGGCTCAACAGCTGGGGTACGATTTTCACGAAATCCGGTTAATTTGTGTGCTTTGCGGAACAAGAACATTTGGAACGGTGGCAGAACTATACGCCCGCCTGAAACACGAAGCAGCAAAGGTCGGACTGGTGGTGAGTGTGTCAAAAACAAAGTACATGATAGTAGGCGGAACCGAACATGACAGGATTCGTCTAGGAAGTAATGTCACGATAGACGGGGATACTTTCAAGGTAGTGAAGGAATTAGTTTACCTAGGATCCTTACTGACGGCTGACAACAATGTGAGTCGTGAAATACGAAGGCGCATCATCAGTGGAAGTCGTGCCTACTACGGGCTCCAGAAGAAACTACGGTCAAAAAAGTTTCACCCTCGCACCAAATTTACCATGTACAGAACGGTAATAACACCGGTGGTCTTCTATTGACACGAGACATGGACTATGCTCGAGGAGGACCTGCAAGCACTCGGAGTTTTCGAGCGACGTGTGCTAAGGACGATCTTCGGCGGTGTGCAGGAGAACTGTGAGTGGCGGCGAAGAATGAACCACGAGCTCGCTGCACTCTACGGCGAACCCAGCATCCAGAAGGTGGCCAAAGCCGGAAGGATGCGGTGGGCAGGGCATGTTGCAAGAATGCCAGACAACAACCCTGCAAAGTTGGTGTTCGCTACTGATCCGGTTGGCACAAGAAGGCGTGGAGCGCAGAGAGCACGATGGGCGGAATAGGTAGAGCGTGATCTAGCGAGCATTGGGCATGACCAAGGATGGAGAGCGGCAGCCGCAAACCGAGTATTGTGGCGTACTATTGTTGATTATATCTTATCTTAAATGTGATGTTGTACAATTAAATGTATGTATGTATGTTTTCGTATTTCTCCAGCAATTCCATCGTTGGAAATATTGTTAATTCTTGAATAATTGAGTAATTCCAAAGTAATTCCTAAAATTATTCAAGTAATCGTAGTAATTTCGGTAATCGAGAGTAATAAAAGTAGTTTAAAGGGTGTCCACGATGAAATTGCCACACACAAAATTGATTCGCAAAATTCGAGTTTTCATCCGATTGCCATCAAATTTTCAGGGATTGAGAAATAACTATTTAACTTCATTTTACCATTTTACTCGTATTTTATTTACAGTCCATACGCAAATGCCCGCACCTTGGCCTTAACCCCGGCCATAAGATTCTGCACAACCTGTGAATCAACCGTTTTTTGCATGTAAACCCATACTTTCTTCAGTTCCTCGACTGTCTTCACTACCTTAGGTCGTTTAAGAAGGTGCTGCTTCATAATCGCCCAGTACTTCTCGATGGGGCGGAGCTCCGGAGTGTTGGGAGGGTTGAACATTTTCGGCACGAAATTGACCTTATTGTCCGCATACCACTTCAGCACGTCCTTGGAGTAGTGGCATGAGGCCAAATCCGGCCAGAAGATTGTTGGGACGTTGTGGGCCTTCAGGAGAGGAAGCAGCCGCTTCTGGAGGCACTCTTTTATGTACACCTGTCCGTTCATCGTGTCCTGGGTCACGAAAAGTGCACTCCGCTTCCCGCACGTGCAGATGGCTTGCCAAACCAGAAATTTCTTCGCAAATTTGGACATCTTCTGAGTGCGGACATGCTCCGGAACGCTGAACTTATCCTTGGCCGTGAAAAACAGGTTGCCGGGGATCTGTTTGAAGTCGGCCTTCACATATGTTTCGTCGTCCATGATGCAGCATTCAACTTTCGTCAGCATGTTGAGGTACAGCTTCCTGGCACGGGTTTTGGCGGACTTGTTCTGCTTCTCGTCGCGATTAGGGGCCTTTTGTACCTTGAACGTTCGAAGCCCAGCCTTAGTTTTGGCCTTCTGGACAAAACTTCGGCTTAGGTGCAGCTTCTTAGCCACATCCCTAACGGAGGCGTTCGGATTTCGGTTGAAGGCCCCAACTACGCGGTTGTGATTTTTGGTGTTGTACGGAATACTTTTTCCTTCACTTCTGGGCTTCCGATCGGTGGTCAACCGTTCCTCGAACCGCTTAATCACTCGCGACACCGTGGAATTCGCGATTCCCAACGTTTTAGCGATGGAACGATGCGAGAGATCCTTGTTCTCGTGATGAATGCGCAAGATTTTATCACGCACGAGCTGTTCTTTCGACTCCATTTCCGCGAGTTTTGATCACAGTACTTTAAAACTTGCAGGATGTAAATAATGCACTATGAACTAAATCCACCCAAATTTTCATTAAATTCTACCCAACGGTTAAAAAGTTAGAGCAATTTCATAGTGTGGCAATTTCATCGTGGACACCCTTTAAAAGTAAGAAAGTAATTTAAATTAATCTCATCTGGCACTGACTGGTAAATAACGCTGGTAGAAACCCCTCGGTGTTTGGAGGCATTTCAACGCAAGTTTGTCCACTCTTCGACTGTTGCCTTTGAACGATCTTTTCAACCTCCCTAGTAATGAAGATCGATCTTCTCGAGAGCCGTAGGAACATAACTAAGGCTTCTTTCGTATCTGACGTTTTACAGTCTCACATACACACTTAGAAATACCTAATTTTACACGTGACGGAATCCATCTTTGACATAAAGGATGAGACGTAAACAAACATGTCATGTAAAATGAAGTGCTCCGAGACTGAAAAGTTCGTTATTCGACGAAAAGTACATTTGATTGAGCTGAATTTCGCGCCTATTATGACTCAATATTATGTCAAAATTGACGCTTGTCTATGTCAGTCTCAGAGCACCGAAATTTACATGACTTTTTCTAAGTGTGTCGATTGCCCTGCTGTATTGGCAAATCAAATAATAGAAAAACTATGAGAGTGATGATGGTTTTAAAATTTTGCACGGTTGCCAATTAGTTGAGTTGAATTTCGATATTCGTCGTCATACCCTCCGCTCACATAATAAAAAAAAAAAAACAAAATGAGCCTATTAGTAGTAGGGGAATTTACGTATTCTCGTCAATCTAAGCAGCGTCTGCACTTCTACTAGCATTTTCTCAGCGTCATGCATATATATGATGTGTCTGTTTGTTTACATTCATCTGCTGCTTGCTTCTCTATCCATTCTAATCGACAGAATTTTTCAAAACGTTTTGAAAGCGTTTTTACAACGCTCCAAACTTCTCAGGTGAGTGTGACTATTGTCGGCAGTCTCTTTTTCTTCGGCAACCTTCCCATTAGAACTGCGTGTTAACCAGCTGTTCTATTATCGGCAACTCGAAATCAACCTCATTTTGTAGTGCGTATGCTTTATTTGAAGAAAAATGTAGCATTACTGGATTGCTCGATCGTTCAAATATAATCAGATTGAAGCTGAAAGGCTAAACAATCGTTTGGACACATTCAGGGAAGTGCGTTGATGGGAAAACATAGTGAAATTAACGTTTAAATTTTGGTTGCCGAAAACAGTCAATGGGTGCCGAAGCCAACATTTACCCTATGTGTCGTTTGTCAATCATTGTTATCATGTTTTCGACTTTCACTTGTTCCGTCCTATTAATGAAAGTAAGTTCCGTGAATTGCTCCGGTAGGATTGCAGAGATAGTTGTTCAATTTTGAATGGTAAGAATTTTTGTCTAGTTTTAAGAAAAATTTAATAATTTAGATCTGAATCTGTTGATGCTAAAAGAGGAGGAGGTATTATGCCTATTTAAGAAAAAAAAATGCTTTGATGTAAGCTCTACTGAAATGGGTAGTTCCCTGTTCCGAATAAAGAATGAAGAAGAAGTCGCTTGATAATAAGTCACGGGAATAAAGCTTGTAAAATTTTCAACACTTATGTTCCGTGTTTCGCCTGAAACACAAAGGTGCCTTCTGAGTCCAGGCAGATCGATACTCCACCCCCATTACGACGCCCCACAGTCTATGCTGTGACACAGGTTCTAAAGACATAGGGCACGAACAGTAAAGCTGTAGAATCCGAAACTGTCTGACTGTGTCGTGACGTAGCCGGCGCTCACTGCAAGAACGCTGCCCTAAAAGAGGCAATTAGTTTTCCACCAGATTGATTATTCACGGTCAGACCGAGGTTCGCAACCCAACCGTTCGTCCAACGTGGGACAGATTTCCCCGAAATGTGGCGAGTGGGTGTCCAAAACTGCCATAATATTCTGTGATGATGTTCTCGGCGTCAAGTAGTACTAGCCAGCAGAGGTACGAGGGCGTGAGGGATGAAAACACCTCCGCAAGCTACAACATATTACTCCCGGTTGTAATTGATGGTTATGGGGCGGGGTTAGTAATTTGATTAGACCACGTAGCTAAATTTTGTGAATGAATCTTTGTTGGTAGTGATACGAGAACATGTTTTGGATAAACGAGCGTGTGCGTGATGTATGATTTGTACTCGGGCACTGGTTGTTGTCCCTCATTTACAGAATGACCAAAATGAATTGAGCCATAAATTGGCCAGGAGGGATTTGGTCACCGATGACGGTCAAAGAGGGAGGGAAAAATACGTTTGTCACCGCGATGGTAATAATTGTGATCGATAGGGTTAGAAGAGAAATTGTGGTTAATCAAAATGGAGCCACCGTTGGTTGGCCTTGCCCAGGCTGTAGGTTTTCATGAATACACAACCTCAATTCGTAGCTTTGATTCACATAGGAAAAACAGCTCTCCATTTTGTGGACACGTGGAGTGTTATTAGAAAAAAAAAATCACAATATCACTTACCGTGCTTGTGCTGGAGAGATATCCGAGCGTCCGAATGTCGATGATATCGATGTCCATGCTGATGCCGGTCCGTCCTGCTTGTGGGTCCAAAATCGAAAAGAAAAACTTTCACCACCTACTGCGGATCGATTTTCCACTCCAACGGTAGTCCGCCCAGCTGTTGTCGCAAGGACCAACCCTAAGCAGTCGATGCAAATCAGTAGTTCAGTTCTTTTCTGCTCCGTAGACAGTCCGTGTGTCCTTGCAGCTGGAAACGGCAGATTTTCGGTTCACTTCTTCGATTCAATCCTCCAAACCACCCTCGTTCCCTTCTCGAATGGTACACCTAGCCAAATTTATTGGAGCGAAAGAATCATACCCAGCCAGTCTCCAGTTTCACTTGAGCAAATCTCGACTGTCAACTTTTCGCCTTCTTCGCCTTCGCTCCGAAAACGTTCTGAGAAACGGGTGAAACTTCTTTATGCTGCAAATATTCTACCGAATGATGATCGTTATCACTTTGAATTCTGCTTCTTCAAGTACGGGAGTTCATTTTTTTCAATTTTTTTTTTAATATCACTTCACTTTTCACCACTTGTCCACTGCCAAGGTAACTGTCGGAAGGATAAATTTTCCTTTCCTCAATTAAAACTTTTCTTCCATGTTGAGCTCTTTGGCCATTGGGATTCGATTCGGTGTTTCCAGTGGGAATGGACAACGATGTTCA